ACTGACTGACTGTGTGACTGACTGTGTGACTGACTGTATTACAGAGTCATACACTAACAGTCAATAATAGTTCATAGTCATTGACCCAGGTTACACAGGTGAGGTTATTAAGGAGCCAGGCTGTCTTTAAAGGAGGACATATATCAACGTTATTATAGTTCACTAAACAAAATAGTTGTGAAAAAAAAACGATTTTAGTTAACTGAAATAAAAACTAGATTTAACTTAATGATATTGTGTAATACAAAACTAAAATAAAACAGAAACATGTCTTTAGTTGTAGTCTTTCCTCAAGCAGGAGGAGATATGTTACTGACACTGGGATGTACGTGACTGTGAGTCAAAAAAAAACTAAAACTAAACACTGAAACTAAAAAAAGCTAAACTAAAACATTTTTTTTTTTTTAAACAATCAAAAACTAAACTGAAACGAGCAAACCCAACTAAAACTGAACATGAAAACAAAAAATAGAATAAAAATAAAAACTAGTATACAATACAAAACTACAGTAACTCTAGTCTGCTTGGAATAATAATGTGTGTCTGATTATGTTTGTTTTTTGTTTGTTTTGTCAAAAAAAAGTATAATTTCCAAATTAAAAGCATCTTAAGGCATCAACCCCTTCCACCTCATTAATGTAATTAATTAAATAATGAATTAATGTGCACATTTTGTTCCTTTCTGATGTTTTCTTACTACTTCACTATAAATTACATCTCAGTGTTTGTGTACTGGTGGCTTTGAGTTTCTACCTCACACTTGTATAAGTTGTGTAGTGGACCAGGATCAGTTTTAATGGACCTGTGGATGTTTAAACGGCTCAATGACAATAGAGCAAAACCTATTTGCTGAAGAAACTCTGTGTTACAGTTGAAGGCTCCGGAGGATGCGAGTAAGTAGACCTTAAACTGAGATTGTTTCATATCACACCAAAGCACTGCTGCACTGCCCTGAGCAAACTGGACGATTAGTCAATATTGTAGTCGACTGACGTAAAATTAAACTGCAACTATTTATTCATAAGAAATTAATAATAAATATTCTCTGACTCCAGCTTCTCAAATGTGAGAACTGTCTGTTTTTTATAGTAAACTGAATATCTTATACATTTCAGACTGTTGGTAGGACAATACAAGCAACTTGAAATGACACTTTTAAGGTTTGTGGGGGACATTTTTCTCCTATTTTCATGTGTTTTATTCATTGTTGATATAATGCTAATAAAGGCTAATGTCTAAATTACTATTGTTACTATTATCTTGTCCTTCAGGTTTCTATTGTTTTTCTTTGTGATAGTGTGGAAGTGAAACTTCTTGATAAAAAAAGACAAATAAACAAGTAACACCAGTGTTTGTCCTACTATGACAAGTCACCATGCCTGCTGTGAAAAAGGCCTTTTTGGGTTTAGTATTTATTATCAGACAAAATCATCACCATATGCACTGGGAACATGTGATGGGTATTTTTTAAAATATTCTCTAACATTTTATAAACTAAAAAATGCATAGATGAAGACGTAATGCAAATAATTGTCAGCTGCAGCCCCTCAATAAACTCTAATTAAAAACTTGTAATCAAAGGCATCTGGTAGCTGAGTGGGTAAGATACACATCACATAAAATCCTTTTATCTCAATCAGTCAAATAAATCAGAAACACTGATTGGACGATACTTGAACAATAGATTAAATTTTTGAGCATTTTACATATAAAAACACATCTGGTATTTTGATGTGAATTTATTAATTTTAAGTATTATTTGTATGTGTAACATTTATAGAAGTATAACTTAAATTTGATCACTGAAGCAGTGGTTTGTGTTGTATTTGTAACCTGCAGATAATGCATGTTGGTGTTATGTAGTATCAAACATTGGAGATGTTTCAATGTATTGATCCCACATATGATCACTGTAGTGATCCACTCTTGTGTTTTCCATTGATATCAATGATCATATTAGTCAAGCTGATCTTCAACATAAATGTGTTCCACAGTAATGTATTACATTGTTACAGAGCTGAAAGATTAATTAATATAAAATGAATCAGCAACAATTTTGATGAATCATTGAAGTCATTGCTGGACCCTTTTCCAATCTGAGAAAGAATTTGATGATGGTTTGCTGTTTTATATCATTTTAAATGTATAATGTTTGGGCCTTATACAATATTAATATATATATATATAATAAAATTTTGTACAGACTGAACGATTTGTCGCTTGATCTAAAAAATAAATCAACATATTAATCTACAATTAAAACAACCAATAATTGTTAAATTATTATAATCACAATCGTCAGTTTGTAAAGAGAAGATACGATATGATTGTATAATCACGACACGATTACACTGAAAGTTGATTAAAGATATTGAATTATGAAACCAAAGATTAAATCAAAAACAGGTCAGTGACCAATTTAGATCCTAAATCTGATCATTCATCAAGCTGATGTTCACTTATACTCATCGACTATGTGTTTGGATTTCTTACCGACACATTATTATCTTATATTATATATAAACTTGTCTTTCTGGTATCTGTACTTGACCCTCCTTTGGTCTGAACGCATAGTCCCATGACAACAATACACAGACACTATTATTCACTCCAGGTTTTCTTTATAAAATAAGTCATCTCATACTCTCACATGGTTTTGTATTGTCATACAGAAGATAAGATCCACACCATCATACATACAACTTCACAACAAACCTCTCCTGTACTCAGAAATAAAAGTGTTACAGAAGTTTATACCACTGGCTCATAATTTCCAACATTTATCTTTCTGTTTCCCTCCAATGATATTGTTCATTTAGAAACATATTGCCAAGAGAACTTGTTAGCTGGGGTCAGAAAGCTCTGATTGGCTCTGCTGTGGAAAAGTGGCTAATGAGGTTTGTTGTGCTTGTGCCGCCATCCAGATTTCCCATATTCACTCAGATAAACTGGTTTTCGACTAAAACATGTATGATTTAATCACTGTGATGGAAACCAAACCCTGCAATGACCATAAAGTACGTAACGTCTTTAAAAACTGTCGGCTTAAGTTCTTAAAACAGACTTTAAAACAGCTGTTACCGCCAGCGTGTGTTTAAAATCAGATATAATTGTCTTGGTGGGAAATGACTTACTTCATGTTCACAAAACTCTGGTAGCATTTAGATAACTGGATGATTGTGTCTCAAACTCATAATGGACACTGTGTTACTTACACATCAAGTCTTAGTGTTTTTTTGTTTTTTTCAATTTAAAAAAAATGAAATAACCTGCTTGCCACGTAGCTTTTATGCTGGTGGTTGTAATTCTGTGTCTGCTACATCTGTTCATATCAATACCCAAATATCCAATTAAAAAAACACAGTATGTGCTGGGTATTTAAGAATGCATTGAGGAGTGTCATAAAATATGACTAATTTGTAACATTTGTCGCAGAAATTAAAATCCAAGCAGCACAAATTTTAAAACGTAGTTGGTAAAAGACAGTGGTTCTTTACCCCGTAGTTAACTCTTATTCACCTAGCATCGGCCAGCATGACTGAAGGTCGCCATTATACGACTGCTGGGAAAGCTATGAGTACAAATTCACTCTGAACGTCACTATTTCTACTCTCAAACCCTCTTTTTTTTTTCTTGAGAGTATTTTTCTGCAGTACATCAGGTCTCTCTTCCTACTGCTGTATACAAAGGGCCACAAAATAAAAACTACATGCTTTTCTGTGGATCAAATACAAGTACAAATGTAAGGCATTGGTATGAGAGGCCATTAAGCAACGCCTCCGAACAGTCAACAGTACGAAGAGAAGCTCCTCCTCAGCTGCACAGGTGACTACACTGACACATTAAGAGGATGGGAGGAGGCATTTTAAAGGCTAATGTTTGCAACGATACACAAGTCACTGGTGTGTTGTACAATGATTGGAGAGGGGGGGGCTTCGTTTGTCCATTGTGATAAAATACGTGACCCCATGAGCCATCTGTCCTGGCTTTTTTTTTTTTCCTCAGTCCTCCATCTTTAAAACCCTACAGACACACAAAACACAGACCGTCTGCCTCCGGTCTCTCCGCATTCATTCACAGTGTAATTAACGGCAGACAAACAGTCAGTTGACAGTCGGTCCGCTCTGACAAAACTGTCGCGAAGCCTTCAAAAATCGGACATTCCTCGAGGTCTGTGAGCCAACCAGCCCACTAGCAGAGGTCAGAGACGTAGTCAAAGTCCCGGAAGCTGTCCTGGTCTTTGCGGGAGAGCACGCGAGGCTCTCGTGGAGGCGTGAGCGCTGGAGCTTCAGTGGTGAACTCCTCGTCGAAGTTGCTGACGTCTTCCTTGCCGCCGATGGAGGGGACGAAGGGAGGGGGCACCTTCCTTTGCAGCAGCGCCTCCCAGTCCACGTTCTGGAGGGAGACGGAGAAAAAAGAGACACGAAATAGTAAAAAAGAGGACAAGTAAAATCGCGTTTCCACGGGATATTCCACTTTAACACAGTTCAGTGTTGCTCGAGGACATGTGGGACACGTGAACAGGATGGATGGCTGACAGGCTCCACCTTCTGAGCAACAGTTGCCTTCATCCTGATCAATCTGAACATTTCCTGCTGCTACAATATGGATTTATTCTGTGTTATTTGGTCAGTGATCAGTTTGAATAGTCATGATTGCTCTTACCCACCCACATCAAAAATACAGCATGTGTACTTACTCTGAAAAATGGCTGTTTCTTCACCTCCTCTGCATCCTTTTCACCAGAGCCCAGTCTTCTCTCCGGGTTCCTCCTCAACAGCTGCTCACAATAAGAGACACACACACACACACACACACACACACACGAGAAGGAAGAAGGAAATGATGGTCAAACATGAATTTGTGACTTCTGAGATTGTGAGTAAGTGTCAGTTTGTCATCTATGTTGGTGAATAATAAGTGTTTCATATGTACGTGCAGCATCTCTCACGTATTGTTCATGGGTGCTAAAGTCAGCAAGAGAAGGAGAAAGAGTGTCTTTGAGTCTTTATGTGTGTGTGTATTTTTTACCCTTCTCATGATGCCAATAGCCTCGGTGGACAGGAAGCGTGGATAACGGACTTCATCATTCACAATGCTGTCAAACACCTCCTCTTCGTCGTCACCTGGGAATGGAGACTACACACACGCGAAAGACATTTAATTCAATACAATGTCAGAGATTTGACATCCACAAATCAATGTGTTTATCACAGTGAGCATGTTTGTGATTGTGAACATCCAATTATGTCTGTAAAGGTGAGTAGGAATATAAATAACGTATCAAAGACTGCAGAAATTCAGCACACTTGTAATATGTTCAATGTTAAGTTCACATTTTCATAACCATTTATCAATATGAAATCAGATACTTTTGCTAGTGTTGAGTATGGTGTCATTTGATCTGTTAATGGAGCGTTTACAGTACAGATTAACATGAAACATGATAGTGAATGCATTTTAGACCCCAGAGTCAAACCATCCTTTATCAATTTAACCTCTTGTTGAATCTATTATTGTAGAGAAATAGAAAACTTTTCAAGATCTGGAATTGATCATATTTATCCTCTATGACAGTGATACCCAAATGTGGCATGCAATATGGTGCTGGGCCCTCTGTCCATTTTCTAATACACAATGAAAATAAATTGATTTGCACTGGGAAGGTTTTTGTTTGTTTATACCAACTGGTAAATGTTCAATAATGTGTCTCTCTCTCTGTCTGTTCCTTGCTTGTAAGTTGCACATTAGCCAATCAGTGATTTGCGCAGTGCACAGAAGCAGTGACACTTCTTCTGTGAAAAGTTCACATGCACCTGACATGCACAGGGCTGCTGCCACTGTATATGTCTCTTCGCTGTCCTCACTCATATTTGCCAACATCAAAAGGCTGACAATGAAAACAGACAGTGAAACTGGACAGATGATTTTGACTTTATTTTGCCGACTCATACTCACATACCAGTCCTAAACCAGTGTTTAATTTGCCAAATGACAACAGCTATAAGCAAGGTTGCTGATATCAGGTGTCATCATGAGTCAAAACATGCTTCTGTGCAGCGTTACCGCCTGGTAGTACCAGAGGAAAAGTTCTGAGGTCGTCTTATTCTGCCACATCAACAATCCTAATGGTTTATTCATTTTATCTGACACATATTTATTTATTAACTGGCTCCTGGCCGAATTGGCAAACCAAGTTGAGTATCCCTGCTCTACACCAAGCTCTGCTGTGAAAGCACAGATCAGACAAATGTGATATTAAACAAACAAGGTTGTAATGTGTGTTCACATATACTTTATAGACCATGCAAGAGCTATGTGTGTGAGTGTATAATAGTTCTCACCTCTCCCACCAACATTTCATAGATGAGGACCCCGAGTCCCCACCAGTCTACTGCCCTGGTGTAGGATGTATCCGTTAGGACCTCTGGGGCCAAAAACTCTGGAGTCCCACAGAACGTGCTGGTCCGGTCCCCAAAGCCCATTCCTACAGACAGAGGCAGAAAGATGAAATTGTGGCTGAAAGTCTTTAGGAAAATGAGTGCAGCAGGCAGACAGGAGTCACATAATACAATGTGCTCATCTGTTAGTATCAATATCCACCTTCTTTACACAGTCCAAAGTCTGCGATCTTCACATAACCATCTGTGTCTAGCAGCAGGTTGTCAAGCTTGAGGTCTCTGGAAGAGAGGGAGGGTAAAAAGGTGTGGGTGAGAACAAGTGTCTCTTTACAGTGTTTCTGAGAGACTGTACAGAGGTGCTAACATCAGGATGCTACAGAGTTATTATAGCTTTGTATTTTTCATTAGTTTTCATTCTGTTTGTAATTTGTGTTTTCAGTTCATTTCCAGAGTGGGTTTGTACAAAATGTTTGGTTGTAGTTTAGCTTTTATTAGTGTCAGTGTTTTTATTATAATAAAACATGTGTTTGTCCAGGGCAAGATTGAAAAAGTTCAGAACAGATAATCCAATAAAAACAGACTCTCATTCATGTAGACATCTCAGTCTCAATAAACAACGCCTCCTTGAGCTTGTTGTGTTGACAAATTTGACCAAATTGACCTAAACTAAAAGACATTTCCTGTTTATTTTTTATTTTAGTTTGTTTTGTTCTAGTTTTTGTTTCTAGTCTAGTCTAGTTTCATTTCTATTTTAGTTAACTAAAATGTTTTTTCACATCTAGTGTTTAGTTTCTAAGTTTAGTTTTAATTAACTATAATAACATTGCAATGCTAAAATGCTGATGTCAAGCAAGTATTATTCTTCTGCTATTCTCTTCTATGAGTTTAGTGTGTGAGCATGCTAACATTTATTAAACTGAAACTAAAATGAAAAGTTAAGGGATCCCCACAGTTATTACAATCCGTTCTTTGGGAGGCATGAATTTTTTGGCGATCCATCCAACAGTTTTCCAGATATTAAACTCCAAACCACAATTATTCACCTCATCGTGAGCTAGAGGAAAGTCAAGGCAGCAAAGTGAGTAAGATTCATCTTCTGGGGACTGTGGCAATCCATCTTAAAGTGGTGGGTCGACCTACAGACTGACATTGCCATCTCTAGAGCTCTGCTGCTAGCATGACTGAAAAAGAGCTCAGCACTTAAAGTGTTGAAACCTCTTTCGACTTTTTGGTGCAATTGGGATTTTCTTCAGATAATCAGCGTTTAGTGGAGGTGTTAAAGCTTCTTCCATTGGACACCACTGAACTGAACTCATATACAAAAAAACATCTTTTGCACAGATTTGAATGGATAGATGTTGCCTGTTCCCTCTTCAGTACACACATAGATGTCTTTTTACAACCCAACTGTCATCAGATTTGTGTTGGTTTCACTCACCTGTACACAATCTTATGGTCATGGAGGAACTGAAGTCCGAGAACTACGCAGGCTGCATAAAACCTGAAGTCAAACCAAACAAACATTATTAGTGACCTGCAATGAAAGGAAATATAAACCTCGTAATTAGTACACAACTGAATGAATGAGAACAAAAATGGACACAGTACTAATGCGACTACCATACTATAGTGAATACATATCTTTAATGCTAGTTGTAGGCTTTTAGTTTTGGTCATGTTTGCCAAAAATATGAATTAATTAACTAATAATTTAATCGTTGAATGCACTGGATATCATGGAAATTATTATTATTTCTTTTTAAAAAAGGTTTAAAAGCCAGACTTTAATTCCCTGAAGGCCCTTCACACCCACTGTAAACCCACACAGCTGATCAGACCTCTTATCTGGACTGTGTGAGCATGTTGAGACTGAGGCTGACTGAAATCCCTCTCACTCTCCTCTCCTGTTGGCTCTGTTGCACATGAGCGACAACTAACATCCTGTATACAGAATCACTTATCACACAAACAAATAACAGAATACTTTCTCCTTCTCAATCACACACATATACAAACGTTACGTACACGGCTCGAGGCTCTGTGAAGACGTCTGTGTGGATGTGCATCATCAGGTCGCCTCCTGCTGTGTACTCCATAACAAAACACACATGCTCCGGAGTCTGGAAGCATGCAAACAGATTGACCAAGAAGGGATGGTGCGACAAGTTCACGACCTCAAAGATGCGCTTCTCGCACATTAGACTGCAGGAGGAAGAAGAGAAAAAGGTGAATATACAACAGGAAGTGTAGGGATGTGAAGGAGGAGGTGGAGAGGGGTTGAGGGTAGGAGAAAAAAAACATTGGAGGGAAAAATAAGAGACATTTACACAGTTATACAGTGTTTATTTTTAGTCAATGAGACACCCACAATCATCCCACAGATGAACTGTAATCATGGTGATTCAAGGCACAGCAGCAGCACAGATTGTATACTGTGAAATATATTATTGGAGCTCAAAGATCCAGACTAAAAAACAGCAACCAATCACACAAACACAAAAAATACTCAGTAATAAACACATCAACACACACCTTTCCACCTCATCTCGAGCTATGATGTCTCCTTTCTTCAGTGCTTTGATGGCGTACATCGTGCCTGTCTTCCTGTATTCTGATAACAACACCTGCAGACATACACATGCAGCAACAGCTCAGTTTGTTTCACTCTTAAAAATGCACACAACACGAGAACGGAGGCCTTCTAGATATGCATGTTTATCAGTTTAATGATTAAGAGAAATGAAAGTGTTCAAGATATCACTACAAGGACTGAAAAGCCTGATATAAACCTGAAAGTTGAATTCACTTACATTAGTGCTTTTTAGAGCTTTTTTGAATGAACATAGTATACATATTAATATGTATGGGTTTTCTATTAGCTCCTGCCAATGTTTCTTTTTCTCAATACGTATGCATATTGGAAAGCTTCATGTCAAGTTAAAAATTCATTAAAAAACAAAAAACAGAAAGTAAAGCGGACCATTTGCCAAACTCTACCTTTCCAAAGTGTCCCCTGCCCAACACAGCGATCAGCCTGAAGTCCTGGAGTGACAGAGGACCTTTCCTCTGCTTACTGTAGAGACGGAAAAACACAGTCACCAGGAACATTTATAGTGAGTGTGGGTGGAGTAACATTCTCATGCAAATGAGTAGTTCCTTTTTCACAGCCGACAAGCCGTTGACTTGTCATAGTAAGTAAAGCACAGGTGTTACTAATAACATCAACAATAGCTCTGTTCTAGTAAGCCCAGTAAGCCATGACAATGACTACATCTACATGCACACTAATTTTCCACTATTAGTCCCAATATGACACTATTCAGATTTTGACAGGGGTCTTGTAAACAGCATATTTCTTTTTGTTATTCCGAATGTCCCATTTTCCAATTAAGACGCGAGATATGCCGATATTACTCAAAAACATTCTAAGCAGCGCATCAATGTCTCAGTTGGGGTTTGTATGACTACACACAGCCTCTTGTCTGTTTATGAAACAAAAAAAAAAAGCCCACATGTCTGGACAGAAGGAGAAACATGTCTACTTTTAAACATTATGAAAGACTTGGATATCAAGACATTTTGGATACGAATAAACGAATAAAAGAATAAAAGAGTGAGGCTGTGTTCGCCATCAGTAAAAACCATCTTTTGACGCAAAGAAGCAACGTGGCTCAAGCGGCTCCAGTTGTTCCACATTTACCACAGGAGCAACAGGACTGGTGTTTGAAAAATAAATGAAAAGGAGAGAGGAAAATTCCTCTGTAGGATGTACAGTATGTCATGAACAGTTATGGTAATCGGAGTATGCACAGCTTAATGTACAGGGGACTATTAGTGGAATATTGATTTTCATTAGCCAATTAAACAACTTAGTGTCTTTATTTTGTGCCTGTAAACATAGTGTGACCGTAAACCAGCATGAATGAAGGATACCAGCACCAAAACCCAGCTAAAAGGACAGAGTTATCATAGTTGTATCAAATAAAATACAATGCAGTGTTTTTGTGCGTGTGGGTACCTGCTAACAGACGGGGTTCGGATAGGGCACTCAGGGGTGAGGTCTGGGGGGGAGAAGGGCTCGATGACTGGCAGTCGGTCCTGACAGAGGACATGCCAGGAAAGAGACACAAAGGAAAAGACACAGAGAGACACACGATGGAAGACAGGAGACACAATTTCATGACAACAGTTTGGACGTGACACACAAACAGCCTTCCAATTCACTTTTTGTCCCTGCTCTGGATTTTTAACCTGATATAGACACTGAAGTGCTCAAGAACAATCCGTTTACAAATCACCTGCTTTCTATATCTATATCTATATCAACACTATCTACAGTACTGTATAATGATCAATCAAGGGTCCCTTTTCAGTGTGAGCTTTTGGATTCAGAAAATTCCCAGACAACATAGATGTTGACATGATCAAAATTTAAAACTGGGCGACAATCTGACATCTGTTAAACGTTTTGGAGCACATCTTATGATTTCTTTCTTCTTCATTTTTACAATGTTCTCAGATGACTACATATTTTTTTGTTTGTTTTTGCCTTGTTGGCAAAACTCTTGCTTCAAAATATAATCCAAGCTTGACCTTAATTGTAATTATTACAGCCTGGATTATGGATTATTACATTAGTCACTGATCAAAGTGACAAAACAGTTTACTTGTGGATCATGAGTTGGGGTTTTAATTTCATGTTAAATAATCAATAATATCATTCATTCAATATCATTTTGTGTTGATTCTGGCGGCCCCTGTGGAAAAAAGTGATACTGTTTCCACCGCATCGTTTTATTGATTTCAAAGGGAATCAGACAGAATCTGACCTGCTGGCAGACATTTAAAAAAAAAAAACTCTTTATAGAAATAATTTTCTCTCGGATGGTCTAGTCTGCTTCTGAAGGTCATATGGAGGCATCAGTTTGAAATTTAAACTGTTTCATATCCAGTTAAAAACTCCTTGTAGTAAGTTTAAATAGTGATTCCCTTCCTCCCACAGCTAACAGACTGTATTTACTACAGTAGACCAAACCACACCCACACCTCCCCCATTTCCTGGGCTTCCTCTCTTTCCGTCTGTCTCACCGGGGTGTGTGTGTCCATGTCTCTCTTGTAATCGCCTCTTATTGGAGAGTCACTGTCCAGACTCAACTTCTCCACTGAGACCTCCCTGAAAAATCCACACAGACACAAACAAACAGACCAACACAGTGATGCGGGGCAGACAAACGAACAGAGACAAACACAAAAGGGCTGTTAGACTGATGGGGCTGATAAAGCATCACATGCTTTACATTTTGCCAGGAAACACAAGGAAAAAGGTTCAAGGAATGCCGCTGAGTTTGATAGCAAAGTCTGAATGACCGCTATCAAATGCCACACGCAGAGTGTGTGCATCTGCACTGTTTATTTGTGCTTGCTGTGTCTGAGTGTGTATGTTGCGTGTGTGTCTCACCCGGAGTTGAGTGTTAGGCTGTGTGCATTGGGACTGTAGGTTCCTGAATTGTTGACGGTGGGTATGGCGTTTCGAAGCAGCCTCACCCACGTCCCGATATCCACGTTCATCTGACGAGCACGAAGGAATGCCTTGCCTGGAAAAACACAAACGCACACACATCTAGAGTCTCTAATGTGTCTCGTAGAGTAAATCACCATCAAATCTGCTCTGATTTTAAAATATTCCTGACTTTCCCTGACTAATTAAGAACTCTGTCTTTAAACAAACATCTGTGTCCCTTCATGTGTTTCATTGTTGTTGTTATGGAAAAAAACCTAACACACAATGAAAATGTAGGGATGTAAATTATAGTTAAAATCATTCCCTGATCTTCACTGTCTGAAATACACTCTAGAAATTAAATTATAATCCAAAACGTACATAATCATCGGCCTTATTTGTTCTTCTCTGCCCAGTTTAGTATCTCTGTATTACATCTTGTTGAAGTACTTTCCCTCTTTGTTGAGATAAGCGCTACATAAATAAAGTTGTCATTGTCATTAAGAAAGAAGATCATGTATTCACCACTAGATGGTGCTGTGGCCTAAATTATAAAGATTAGTGTTTCTTCTTCTAGTTATGTTCATTTTCTCATTAAGATAAAGACAGTTTCAGCACATCTGCTGTTCGTTCTTTTCAAAAAGGTCCTCCATGTAAACATTGCTAAGACCGCAGAGTAGAAAAACAGTGTCATTATTTCCTAATCTGCATATTTTTCAGTGTTTTTCTATCTTCCTCACCTTGCTGCTTAGAAAAGACCTTCTTCTGCCTCTGGAGGCGAGGAACTCTCTCAATGACCGGGTTGAAGAAGGTCACCTGGAAAAAACACACACATAACACATGAAACTACACACACACATTTTATTTTCAGACATCACACTCAGACGATTGAACCTTTCAAGTATGATATATCAAAGCAGTGTTTTTCAGCACAGGTGCGAGTGACAGCTTGTGCGAGTGTGTGCGCGTGTGCGGGTGGGCAGGTGTACATGCACATTTGAATATCTTTGTGTGTATTTATAGCACTTGTATAGACGGGTGTCATGGGTGACATATGTGATCCGTGTCGCTGTACCTTTTCCCATATTTTGTTGCTGCGTGTGTCAAGATTACGTGTTTGTGTGTTTGTGTGTGTGTGTGTGTCTGTACCTCAGCCAGCAGCAGGCCCTGAGGCTCCATCTCCAGCTGAACTCTGTGTTTCTGGTTGTCCAGGAACTCCTCCAGCTTCACATACTTCAAAGCGCACAACGAGCGGTAGTCTTTCCAGTAAACAGCAATCTCCATCTCCCTCGACTAAATCACACACACACACACACACACACACACACACAAACACAATGGGGGTCAGACAGAGAAACAGAGAAAAGCAGTTTTATTTCACTAAAAGGATACTTAAATGTGCTCTGTGGTGCGTTTTTGTGTGTGTTTATGTACTGACCCTTTCCAGCTCAACAGTGAAGGTCTGGTCCCAAGCCTGTTCTCCCACAGTCCTCCAAGCTGTCTGACCCACCACTGTGTTATCTAGCTTCAACACAGTACTCACCTCAGCTGCACACACACACACACACACACACATATGCACACATCAGCAAATTATATGTCCTCCATAGGTGACTTTCCTATATAGTACCTGGCACTTTATCCCTGACCACTACAGAAATGAAAGCTGCTGTGGGTGCTGCTCATGCTACAATAATACAATTTACGTATTGATTAATGATTGTCATTAATTTCCTTGGAGACATTGCGAGAAGTGCAAGACCTAAAAAAGCTGGTTGTGAGTTGCCTACTCAGGGTATTGAGGCAATTCAGCTAAATGTGCTGATGTTGCTGTGCCACTGTCAGCACTGACTTACAGTACCTAACCACACCAACCTAAAGTGACACTGACAGGAAGTTACTTCATAGAGATCTGTTATATTGCTCACTGATAGTGACAGTGAGTGGTAAACTATTTGTACTGAAAAACAACAACATATAAATCATCATGAAGCAGATAAACGAGCACAATATTAAGTTGTTTATTTATAGAGCATTAGAACTACAGTTTATATAAAGTAATATTTATTTGATCACACAAAGCAAGCCACACACACACACACACACACACACACACAAACTTACAGGAGAGCTCGTCGGCCTTGCTGGGCGTCTTCCCGCTGACTGAGCCGCTCCGTCCGTACAGTCCCTTGCTGCCCCTCATAAAGGACCTGGTGTCTCCGGGGCTGTAGCAGGGCAGCATGACAGCTGTTCCTTTATTGCGACCTGGGACCACCTCCAACAACCCCACACAGCCAAAGAGCTGCACCTGCAAGGTACCTGAAGAGAGGACAGATAAATAAATCTAAAAGACATAAAAACACTGAGCATAAAAATAAATATGCAGTTTCTGATTTACAAAGATATGTTCACTTGCAAACACCTAATGCCCTCTTCCACAAGCAGGTGGCCATTATAATTCCTATTTTATATATATTTAATTGTGACCATACATATTCAGGAATAACACTTGTAAAATGTCTCCAAAAGTCCTTGGTCTTACTTACCTCTGTTTGCAACATGAACGCATCGGCCTCAGTTAAGATTAAGTGTCTGTGTACATGCACACGTGTATGAAAAGATGAACTGAATCAATCAAAGGGGTAAATGTGGGTGCAGAACACACTGTAACCACTGTGTAGAACCAATTCCTTTTACTTTTGTTAATGGAAAGGTCTCTGTGGTTATTCAAATGGTCTCTTCATTTCAAACAGCCAGAGAGGAAACCTCATCCTCCTACCTCGATTAATCAGATGGCTCTACACAGACACTAGAGGGTGCAGTGACAGTCGTTTCCACAGTGTCTTAAATGTTTACTATAAGCTCTTGTGCTTATCTAAACCGTGGAATTCAGTGCTTTACATGTTGTGAAAAATATGTTATTGTGTAGATTAATCTTACCAATGTGCAGTTGGGATGTTACTATATAGAGGCATCAGTATTAAACTGAGATGGTTTCATAACCAGTTAAAAACTCCTTCCAGTAGGTTTAACTTTGGCCTGAATTGCTTTGTTTGGTATTACATACCAGTGAGAGGTGACGGTTTGTTGAGGGTGCTGTATTGGTTGTGGAGGTAGGGGGCGCCATGGCGAGAGCTGAAGGCAGGGGAGGAGGCCAGGACCAGCTCCTCTTTGATGACGCTGGCCTTAGGATGGTCCTCCGGCAGCTCTGCCAGACGCTGGTCCAGAGAGTCTCTCAGTAGGTCCAACCGCTGAGACGCCTCGCTCAGACGAGACTGCGCCTACATCAACACAGAACGCACATTTACACATCCACTGGGTGACAGCTTACATTGTTAGGTGGACAATCCATCCCTCACGAGTCACATTTTCACAGTAACACACCTTTGCATTTGAAGCAGTTTTGAATATTCTGTTAAAAAATGACTGAAACAACTATATAAAGTTGAAAGTGAGTTTTTAAAGAATTTCAACACATGATGAAGGAACCAGTGAGTCACTAGTACTGATGAAAAACCCTCCCAACAGCACCACAGATATGTTACTTTGAGCTGTTAGGCCCAATGTGTTTTCTTTCCAGCTGCTGTTGTGAAGATGTGTCTGTGTATGAATAGAGACTGTTGAGTAATTGAAGCTGCTCTGTGGATCTGACCTTGCTTTGTGACGCTACATTTGTACAGTTTTTACAGGATCCATTAAGATAAGATAATTCCTTTATTTATCCCCCTAAGAAGAAATTAATTTTGACACAGCAGCAATAGG